CTGGGATGCTCTTCAGTCAGTGTATACCAATTAACAACTTTTAAGCTATTTTAGATGAAACCTAAGCAGTGTTTACTCAAGGACTGAATTTGCATCATTGCTAAGGGAAATCCTTTCTGAATACTATTCCTTATGCTGGAGGTTTTTCACTTTGGTGAAAATAGGTCCTGGAATTGGTTTCTCAGATCTCTCTCCTGCTTTGGGTCATTTCCTTACAGAAATTCACAGATCAGTACTTAACTAAATACTCGGGAGGGACTCTGGAGAACTCTAGAATTCTTGTTCTCTTCTCTAGATCTCTCTACCCTGGTCTCTGCCCTGTGAACTCTAGTTTCCTTGACATCTATTTATTCTGAATTGCATTTTTTCAAATCAAGGAGACCACCAGGGTCTGCTTGGTTTTATCTCCCTGTGTTGCTTGCAGCCTAGAAACGTTTTGGAGGCATCAAGAGGGGACAGTTGTAAGGGTCACCTCATTTGTTTCCTGAATCTCAAGTACCACTAGCTATTATCTCATTACAGCTCTTATTCCATGCATTTTGCATGTTTTTTTTTTTTGTTGTTGTTGTTCGTTTTGTTATTCCATGTAGAAGGTAAAGTTGGTAACGATTATTCTATTTTAGTTGGAGGTAGAAGTTAAAGACTGGGACTTAGGCCAGCCAGTGGTGTGATGAAGGCAGCTGGATCCCACATGGCCAGCTATGCGACTGGAGTCCCAGACTTGGGCATGTGTGCCTGCATGCTCAAAATCCCAAAAGAAGGGACAAATGCAGGAGAAAGAATTGCAGCATGGCCATCCTCCATGGAGGATGCCCTCCCCTCTCTTTCCCCTCCTACCTCCCTCACACCCTCACCCCCCCCCACACACACACACACACCTTGCAAGAGCATGTGCTCTCTAGAAGAAACAAGAAAACAAGCTGGGATTTTATACAAACTGGATTCTAGTGCATTTTTAATCATACTTGCAGAAACTTTAGTAGGCTCAACTCACGGACAGCATATCCACAGGAATGGCTGCACTGTGGGACTCTCATCACTGTTACAAGAGACCCTGCCAAACCTGGATAACGTTATGAAGGTTATTTAGCACGTTAATAGCGTCAGGTGTTGCAAATGAAGAAACTGATGAACCCATTTGGGCTTATCGAATCTCTTGCTTTATTTATTTTTTTTGGAGAGGTTTTTGCTATAGGGTGCGTGCGCTCGCCAGACAGACAGAGACAGAGAGACAGAAAACGAGAAATCACCCCCAGGGGGGATGGTCACGCCGCAATCCCTTCTCCTCCATTCTCCTCTCGGGATCTTGGGCACGCACACACATGCGCCTGGCGTGAGTTTTAAGCCACTGGGTCTGGGACGCAAACCGCGGTCGACTACGTGGGAGTCCAGTGACATAGCCATTACGCTAACTGCTGGTCCCGAATCTCTTGCTTTATTATGTGTTATATTTGGCATGCTTTATTTCTCTTTCATGTGAGGTGATTAGAGACAGGGTCTTGTTTTGTTGCCCAGACTGGCCTTGAATTAATGATCCTCCTCTTTTACTTCTTGAATAGTTGTATACCACCATGCCCAACTTGACTTTAGTTTTTATTGTATGGGAATTACTGAGTTTCAAAAACACAAGTGTTTTAAAAAAATTAAGTGTGATATGACATTTACACAAAATGTTCTTAATTACAAAAGCAAAATAAATACATTTAAAATCCTCATTTATAAACATTCAGGGAGCTAATATACAGATGATCTCTAAATTACAGTTGTTCAGCTTAATAGTGTTCACTTTTCAGTGGTGTAGGCTGCATTTTTTTTTAATAACAGTGTTTTGGGCTTAAAATGTTGGTGCAGTAATCAGCAAGTTATAGGAGATACTCATTACTTTATTATAAAATAGGCTTTATGTTAAGTGATTTTGCAGAAGTATAGGCCAGTGTAAGTGTACTAATAAGCACATTTAAGATAGGCTAGACTAAGCTATGATGTTCTTGGTAGGCCTGGAATAGAAAATACATTTTTATGGTTTTGCTATAGGGCATGTGTGTTCACTGGAGAAAAACAGAGAAAAGGAGAGAGAAGAACCACCTCTGGGGGTTGGGAGGAGGGGATGGCCGCACCACAGTCCCCTCTCTTCTGTGGATCCTCTTGGGATTTTGGGTACCCATGCATAATATGCCAAGCATTTTTTTTCAAGGTGCTGGGTCTGAGATTGAACTGTGCAGTCAGTCATGTGGGATCCAGCTGTCTTAACCACCGTATCACCTGCTGGCTCCAGTAAATGCATCTTTGACTTAAGATAATTCTAATTTACAATGGATTTATCAGAACATAACTCCCTTGTAAGTCAAGGAGCTTCTGTAGTAGAAAATTTTTCTTCTGCCTCATAGCTTCTGTTTTACAAAGATTAATGACAGTTTTTATTTAAGTACATTTTACTGCATTAAAAAATAGCTTTACAGGGAACCAGCAGTTAGCATAATGGCTATGTCACTGGACTCCCATGTAGTCGACCGCGGTTCGCATCCCGGACCCGGTGGCTTAAAACTCACGCCAGGCATGTGTGCGTGCGTGCCCAAGATCCCGAGAAGAGAATGGAGGAGAAGGGATTGTGGCGTGACCATCCCCCCTGGGGGGTGATTTTTTGCTTTCTGTCTCTATGTATCTCTCTGTCTGGCGAGCGCATGCACCCTATAGCGAAAAAACCTCTCCAAAAAAAAAATAGCTTTATGGTTTTAAAGAAGTTCTTTAGTTTTGTGTGTGCATATCAGATACACAGCTGCTGTGATTAGAATTTATCCATTGGAAAAATCTAATCTAATCAAAATTAGTGTTGTCTACTCTGTTTATCACCTCATGAAATGGAATAATAGTGAAAGTAGACACAACTATTCAAAGATTCTGGTGGATTTCTTACATGAGGAAAGGCCAGTTTCTCATGAGTGGAGGTGACTAAAAGCTAAGAAAGGTATTTTTTTTAACAAAGCTTTCCCATGGTTACACAGGTAAATGATATTATTTATGGGAAATTTTTATTGAAATGAGTAGATGTTCATGCGATGCTGTGTGCATTCCTTATTTTGTGACACTCCCGCAGACATCTGTATTTGTAGATGAGCCTGCCCAGTTTTTAGACAACTGATTGAGACGTATTTCAACACTGTCACAGGAAAGCTTCCAAAATCTACCTGCTTTATCCAGCCTTTCTGATATATTAGCCTTCAATGTGGCTTTGCTCAACACTAAGGCAATTTGACATCTATAATACTCTCAGCCCGCTTTCTAAGTGGGTTGTCACCTTTAAATAGCCATCAGTGCTTCGCTAAGATTCGCGGTCTGTCTTGCCATTTAGAGAAAGAATCATTTTCAGTAAATCAACTTTTATGATTATAATCACACCCTTGTAGAAATAGAATATTCTTACCCTATAATGTTCATTTCTAATTAATGCCTTAGCTTGACATCCCATGTTAACTTTTATTGAGACAACAGCATATTCTAATTCATTTCTGTTAACTAGAATATTTGATTTCAGAAAGATCCGTAAATTAGCGAGGCTTACTTGGATTATAATTGACTTTACTTGGTTTAGAGTTCACTAACCAAACTTGGCCTTCAGAAAAAATGCCTCTCTTTAAGCAATTACTGATCTCAGGCCACTTATTCTAAACAGCGGGATTACATGGGAGCCAATTCTGCCTCATTAGGACATCATAATTGGGTAGCCTGAAAAGTCGTGACACATTTTTGTATAGAAAAACATAGAGAACATACTTTATGACGTTTCCAGGTACCTAGTAGAATGCTGCTTAGAGCTGTGGTGATACTGTAACTGGAGTACTTCTGAGAATAGTAATAACACATTTAATAATGACCTCTAAGTTAGCTGCGCTGTTCAAGGCCTTACTAATACAGATATGAAAATTTCAGAATTAATCTAGATTTCTGGTATAAAGGTCAAGAGATCTATACCATTTATAAGCCCATTTTTTTTTTCATCTTTTAAAATCACCATTGAATGCCTCCTGGGGAATTATTTAAAACTGATAGATACTCATGTGTGCATACTTATGTATGTGTATGTGCTTGTGTGTGTGTGTGTGTGTATATATATATATATATATACACACACATATACATACATGTCTATTTATAAAAATACATTTATTAATACCTATTTGCATTTTATTACCTTTTGGGTATCTCTGATTAATGATATCCATCGTAGCTGAGTATTATTAATTAATTATTAATTTCTTAACTTTGAAATGGATTTTATTCCTTGTTTAATTGTTAATTAAATGCTATTCTTTTGGTTAGTTAAAGCAGTTTGCCAGTGACTTTGTAAGTAGTACTGATAGATTTTTAAGTAGTAGTTAATTGCCCAGAAAGTTAGAAAGTATTGATAGATGAACAGAGAGTGATTAATAAGCATAGCTTGTAAGGATTTAAGGAAGAATAATTTCTGACAATTTCAGTTATAGGTCTTTAGGTTCTTTCTTTCTCTCTCTCTTTCTTTCTAAGTTTGTTATATGGTATATGTGCTAGCCAGACAGTATAACAGAGAGAGTGAGAAATCACCCCCTAGAAGGATGACACACTACAATTCTTTCTCCTTTCTGTATATTGGGCATTTATACAAATGTGCCTGGCATGGTTTTCTGGCTGCCAGCCCTAGGACTCGAACGGTGGGATTAGCCAGGTGGGATCTAGCGGCCATAACCTCCACGCCACCTGCTGGCTCTCTCTACGTCTTCCTTATATTCATAAATTGCTTTACTTTACATTCTCTCTTGTTGTTTTTACAGATTAAACTATATTGTGATTCTTTCAAAAATAGCACATTGTACCCAGATTTCAGTAAAGATATATTTGTTCTACTTAGAATGCCCAGTCATGTTGATTTCATGGAGATTTGGGAAAATTAATCCTAATGGGAATAATTACTATGAGAGCTAAAAGTAATAGTTGTATCCTTTTTTTTTCTTTCTTTTTTAAAAAAGCCGGACCTGTGATCTGCAGAATGCTGAGTTACCCCCCAACTCGCCGAGCTTTAATTGTGGGCTGTGGCCTGCAAATGTTCCAACAGCTCTCAGGCATTAACACCATCATGTATGTATTTCTTTCTGGCTTTTTACTGAAAAGATTGTAAATGGATTATTTTACATGGGAAAAAGAACAGGACTGCTGGTGTTGTTACAAGTGTAGGATTCTTCTTTGGGGAGATCTAACTTTTCGAGATTTTTGTTTTAATCTTATAATTTGCTACTAAAAAGAGGATTTTTTTTTTCTTTTTTGGCTTGTCGTAAATTATTGGCTTTATTTGGTTTCATATCAGTTCTCCTTTATGCTGTTTGATACTTTCTTATATTCTGAACCGATTGATATGTCATTTTCACAAACTATTCGTTAATGCTGGTTAAAAAAAATAAAGCAAAAGGGATTATGGGCACACAAATCACAAATTTATTTCCTTTTGGGGCATTTTGTTAAAATGCAGTGTGTTAAGGGCATTAAAAGAAGTTTGTTTATAACAATCGGAGTATAGCGGAGGGGAGCTTGAGTGGGAAGGGAAAAGGAAAAGGAAGACAGAAAAGGTTCCTGATTTCTAGTTTTCAGAGTGGTCTCCTATATTGTGTGTGTTCAGGGTAGACTGGGCTGAATAGTAGGGACTCAACTGTGTTTCATTCAGTCAATAGTTAACCTGTTTTAAGGGCCCGTTTTGCAGTAAGTGCATACACGCACAGCAGCAGCCAGAGGCTCCCTGGCCTTACAGAGGCTGAGCATGGAAAGCACATGAAGTAAACTCACAGTTGCATAGAGTTCCAGATTGTGGTAAGGGCTGTACAGTACTCATCCACATCTCCCCAAGAGGACTGTTAGGACCCAAAGTAATAAAGTGAGGTTTTGAGAAGGACATGAGTTTTCCCATTTTCCCAAGAAAAGGAATTATTGAAAGAAAAATTGTTAAGTCTTAGAAGTTGTTTTCTCTCTCTACTTACTGGCTAAAAAAAAATCATTCATTAAAAAGATACAAATTAGTTAAAAACAAAATTTCCATCATAAATCATTTGCATTTGGAATTCTTGATATTTTCCTGTAAACTTGCTCAGGATATGGTGAATTATTTACAAATATTTTGGGAAAGGAAAGAGCGAATTGGTTAAAATAATGTTTTAAAAATAGAGATTCATGGGCCAGCAGGTGATGCAGTGCTTAAGGCGCTGGACTTGCCCGGGGTCCTGGATCCCTGGCTCGAAACTCACACCCAGAAATATGTATGTGTGTGCCCAAAATCCTGAGAGGAGAATGGAGGAGAAGGAATTGCAACATGGCCATCCTCAGGGATTTTTTACTTCTTGTCTCTTCTGCTCTCTGGCAAGTGCATGTTCCCTATAGCAAAAATTTCTTTTAAAAAAAAAAAAGGATTCAGACCCAGTGAGTCATTAGATTAATCAGTATTTGTTGAGACACTCCCTTTTTAATACATTCACCACTATGTGGATTTGGTATTAATCATAACATCTGTTAGACTGTGACGTCTCTTAGACCATGTGTTAAATATTTTGTCCTTTTCTCCCTCTCTGTAAGACTGGCATTCATTTTTTCACTTTTATCAACTACACTGGCCCATCCATGGTATAGTGCCACGCGTGTTGCTGTGTTCTCTGGATTTGGCACATCATGGCTGTTCTGAGAAGTGTCCACCTTCCTCAGTGTGGTGATAGTATAGGATGCAGCAAGGTTATAGCACCAAGCTCGGAAAAACTGCAGTGCAGTAGTAATCTCATGTGAATATTCTAGTTGAGACCTAATATAAGATGTGTCCTATTTCTGAAAATGTTTGTTGGTTCTACTTTTCTACATATTTAAATTTGATGAGTTTGAAAACATAGAAAATGAATAATTTTTGTTGTACTTTTTAATATTCGTTTAGAGATCACAAACAGTACCAAGTCTAGCTGGGTGGTGGTTGAAGCTAGTGTGTTCCTAGCAGAAATAACTGTCATGATCCATTTACGGCATTTTGTATGCATTGTGCTGATTGAATCTTCACGTTTTAACACAGCTCTCAGTTCTCCAAATCTTTAACCTTTTCATGGAGATTAGTGATAGAAGGATCTTGATAGTCCATAAGACTTATGATGGTCATTAATGTACTTTGCTTATCACAGATTGTACATGATACAGGTGGTATTCTCATAAAGCTCTTGCTTATGCTTGGGTCTTAATCCTGGAAAACAGGAAGAATCAAATAAATAGTGGTTGAACATAGACTTTGCCTACATGATGCAAAACCACTAGTAAGCTCCCAGAAGAAATGAATATGATATTAATGTCTAGAAGATAGAGGGTTAGACACTTATATGTTTATGCTAAGTCAGTGTTGGTTATTCACAGAACATAACTTCAGACATTCATATGTAAAGTCCATAAAATCTTGCAGAAGCAATGTCATTATGATAGACCACATTATTGTTTACTATCTGGGTAGCAAATAACTAACACAGGGCTTTCATATATATGTTTTCTCCTGTTTATATTTGTATGTGTATATGTATATCTTTCCTTTGTTCTTATGATTCAGTTAATACTGCTCTAAATTTGTTTCTAATTTAAAATCATCTCTTAACTGGAGCTAATAATTTATTAAGTTTTTAGTAGAAAATTTTTTTTGTTTTAAATATACTTTGTTAATTCAGAATTCCTTTTGTATTCTCACCCAAAAAAATAGACAAACGAACAAAAAAAAATGGGACCAGTAGTTAGCGTAATGGCTATGTTGCTGAACTCCCATGTAGTTGACCATGGTTCGAGTCCTGGACTTGGTGGTTTATACTCATGCTGGGCACATGTGTGTGTGCCCAAGATCCTGAGAGGAGAATAGAGGAGAAGGGATTTCGATGTGGCCATCCTTACTGGGGGATGATTTTTCTCTTTCTGTGTCTTTGTCTCTCTGGCGAGTGCACACACCGTGTAGCAAAAACCTCTCAAAAAACAAACAAAGAATTGCTTTTGTATTGATAGTTCATTATGAATAATGCTACAGAATTTTACTCTTACTCTTTCTTTTCAGATTCTTCCCTCTTAAGTGGGAAACAGAGTAGACAGTGTCCACCGTTCTAACCCAGACCTAATAATGGGAAGGTGATGAAATATGTCTTTACAGATTCCATCTTTCATCCCAAAGTTTGTGTGAACTGATATATGATGTATTTGGAATTTAGTTTCTCACTGAGGAAAGTTCATAGAAAGATCATGTGGAAAAATATTGAAATATAAGTCATCTTCACAGTTGCTTTATATAATCCCTACCATGTTTAGTTTTCTCTCTTCTTTCTCTCAAAGGATCTTTTATTTCTATACTCATAACCTCTTTGATATCCTATCTCAGTCAAGGAAATAGATTTTCCCCTACATACTTAACTTTCTCATTCTCTACCATATATATTTTTCTCTAAGTGTTTTTATTTGTGTGATAACTCATGTTTCTTCATACCTTCTCATTCCCTACCTTCCTAAACAGAGGAATTTTTTTTTAAGAGATTTTTGCTATAGAGTACGCATGCTTACCATAGAGACAGAAAGTGAGAAATTACCCCCCCTCCAGAAGTGTTGGCCATGCCACAACCCCTTCTCCTTTATTCTTCTCTCAGAATCTTGGACACACACACACACACACACACACACACACACACGCCCGGCATGAATTTTGAGCTACAGGATCCAGGACTTGAATCACAGTCTACTATGTGGGAGTATAGTGATGTAACCACTATACCACCTGCTGACTTCATCTAATAATTTCCAGCATGTATTCAGATTGACTAGTCTCCTGTGTTCACAGGAGAGAAAGAATAGAGCAAATGGGGTTTTAGCTATCCTAATATAAAAGTGTTCATGTTATTACTCTGTATCTCATAGACCATTGAAATATTTCCACATATGTCAAAACAAAGGGGGCAATGAGTGATAGGTGAAGGTTATGATGATCAATGTAGAGAAAACTCTACAGAAATCTCACTCTGGTTTATTCTAAACTCTAGTCATAATCTCAATGATTTTCTGTAGGTAGAAAGAAAACACCAGATTCCATGTGTATGTGATAGCTTCCTACTTCTTTCAGGGAACTTATTTATGATAAACTATATGAGGGGACTTCATAAAAGTTTGTGGAACAGTGGAATTGAGCAATGAAATTAAAGTATGAGTTCATTTGGTGTAAACATTTTGAAATCCATATGTTAATACTCATTTTCCATGAAAATTTTTGAAAACCCCTTGTATTTTGCCATATTCTGATAACTAGATAATCCGTTTATCTTGGACAGACGAGATAGCAGCTTTCTATCTGAGAAAATCAAATAGCTCAAAGACTCACTTTAAGGTGAAACAGAAAAGTAGTGTAGAGATGGAAATCCAGAATTTTAGGGTTTTGAGTTTGCCTTTTTTTTTTTTTTAAGAAAGAGAGAGATTTTGCTATAGGCTGCATACATGCACTTGCTAGAGAGACAGAAAGCAAGAAATCACCTCCTAGGAGAATGGCCAGTCCCTTCTCCTCCATTGCTTCTCAGGATCTTGGGCATGTACACACTCATGCCTGATGTGAGTTTTATGCCACCAAGTCTGAGATTCGAACCACTGTCAACTATGTGGGAGTCCAGCAACACAGCCATTACACCATCTGCTGGTCCTGAGTCCACTTCTGATAAAGAAGATTGTGGGGGAATAAATTTCTTTTGGACACTCACCCTTTATTTTGAATCCCCGCTTCTTTTAGAATAGTACTCCCTGCTTTCTCTCTTCTTATTCTTCCCTTTTCTACTATCTCAAAGAAGGGATGGGTAGTGGGCATTTTTATTGTATGGACAGATCATTCTAGCTTCTATTACTGTTTTATCAGAATCTCTAGGAGAGCACTTCTGTTATCTTCAGAGAGATAGTGAAGGCCGTTAGAATATATGTTCTGGTAATAATGACGTGAATAGAGATAATTTATTGAGTATTAAATACCAGTTGCTGCTTCAGGTGTAGGTATTGACTCAATAAATATTACAGAGAATGGGAAAAGTAGGACAATAATAAAATAATTATTTTAAAAATTATTTAAT